ATCCACAGGAAAGATGACAGCCTGTTGCCTCTATACATAAGAATTACTCGTTCAATTGCTAGTCTATTACTCTGGTTTTAAAAGGTATATGATAGATGGTGGCTATAAACGCGCGTGCGCTCACAGGAACGAGCAGACTATGTCATAATGGATTCCAAGCCAAGGCCACAACGAAGGATGCAATGGCTTAGGGAAGAGCAATGGCTTCAGGGATCATGCCGACCACTGACAGAAACACCAGAAGCTTCAGCACGTGACAACTTAGGCCAATGAATAAGAGCGCCTCAATAAACCAACATCACATGGAGCCACTGCCATAAAATAGACATTCCTTCTAGCTACCATAGACTAAGGACGCGTCACATTTAGAAAACCGAGGAAGGATCGGGGATGTTCACCGATCCTGCCAAATCGATCGCCACATCGGTGTGCCACGACTGAACTTTTGCAATCGCGGGCCCACCGCAAGTCCCAAGTGACACGATCGGAAAATCATGGGGCAAAATTGCCCGATGTGGACGAAATTGCGCGATCGATGTGTGACAAGGGCACATCGATCGCCCGATTCCGAGGGGACAACTGTACATTGGCGACGGATGACGAAGACAGGTAGCCAGCAATTAACGACGTCGTGAATGCGAAAAACCGATCTTGTGCAGGTTCGGTGTTTCACTTGTGACGCGTCCTAAGGAATAAGGATCCATGGCTGACAGAATTGAAAGTTGGTTGGTGGGTTGGTGGGAAGGAATGGCGTCGGGCAGGAGGATTCAAGCGATTAGGTTGGGGCGTTATCGGGGAGGCTCGGAACGAACTGGTGGAATGGTATGGAAGCTCAACAAACCGGAAAAATGTTCGGAACCAAAGCTGTTCTCACCAGCTTCGCTTAGATGTGTCGCTCAGGGAACATCGAGGCTCGGCTTGTAGGCAGTTCGGTTGACTCTTGCTGGTTCGTCGCGCTGCCACATGGGATCTCCACTTCAGCTACTTGTCGCGCGGTGGGATTCGTAACCGTGGGATTGAGCCACTGGTGATGTTGCGAAATTTTGTGTCTCGTCAACGATCACAGAACCAATCACAGGTGAAGACGAAATTCTTCCGACGTCGCAACGCTGCCAAATCGCGACACCATGTCGGCAACTAACCTGCTGCACAGAAAAAATGTTCCACCTGAAAAAACACCGCCTCGGTAACTGCCTGAACCCAACCTCCTGAACCCACAAACAGTGAAACCTCAACAAAGTGTGATTCGGTACAGTATATGGACAGCATTCACGTCACGTCCAACATTTGTGCACGGAAATAGAATCAGTGCAACGTTTGAACGGAAATATACAATGAGCGAATCTAGGAACCAGAGCGCAAAAAACCTTCTAGCAGCAGTCGTAACTTTGAAGACTGCTTCATGTCGAGGGAGGTTAGCAACCGTCGGCTTGAGGGACGAGATATAGCACAGCCAGAAAGAGCGGAAGCTTTTGGACTTGGGAGAAATGAGTCAGACGGGACTGGTGGATATCATTCCGAAAGGCCTTTTGAAGACAGGAATATCAGAAGTCATGGAAACGAAACAGGTTTCGAGAAACCGAGCGAACAGAGAAACGATCACGAAGGCGTTGGGGATGAGACTGAAAAGAAGGCAGCGAAACAGCGCATGGCAGCAGCTGTGGTGATGATAGCGGAGGAGACGGGTGGGTGAGTATCTTTTTTTAGACCGAAAGGGGAGGATTTGATCTGATCTTGTCGCACGGAATCCCACTACCGTCTCATTCATTCCAACCCATATCCGTCTCGTTACTTGAGTCAGCCATTGACGCTTACAACGGTGACACGCTTAGGCGACTCATATTCCCTTATTCCCCATGTCCTTATCGTCTCGTTCTCTTCAGCTCGGTCGGCAGGGATGTCCATCCACGATGACGTCATGCAGGCGCTGGTACACCTGACTCTGACGTATGCAGGTGAGCACTTTGCGTCTGATGTTGGGTACTGCCAGAGGATAGAGACATCTCTATGAATCTAAGTTGCTTGCTGAAGCTCCTATTGCTCAGCTAAGTTGTTATGATTGCAACGTATAGCTTTGTTCATTCAGTGCATACGTGTTTTTCAGAACCTACTCAACAACAGCGTGCTTCCATTTACCTCGCTGCAGAACAATTGGCACGGGACGTGCAGTTGTTTGCACGGCATGCCAAGAGGAAGAGAGTGGAACCCGATGACATCATACTCTCAGGTCCGACATTGTTCACTCTTTCTGCATCAATTTGAGAGTTGTCTGCTAATGCAGCTTTCTTCAATCTGCATCTCACCAGCATTCTCTTTCTTCTCTGTTACAGCCCATCGGAATCAAGCTCTGATGAAGAAGCTTCGAGAACTTGCGGTAGTTGTGGTGCAAGAGGGCAAGGCTATTAAGAGCAAAACGTCAGCCAAACTGGATGGTTTGTGAAACTTTCCTTGTCCAAAGAAATTTCTACATGCCAAAGAGTTTCTCTGTCATTATGCTGCTGTACTATACTGCTGCTACCAAAACAAAGGAAGATGGTAAGGAGTATTTTAACAGCATTCATGTATACCTTCTAGAAATGATTGACTAACCCATTCGGTGTGCTCAAATTGGGTGGGCCTGTGACGAGTGCATTCAAATCTTCACGATTGGGTAGATCTGACGTGGTCTAACCAATGGAAGACCTTCCTTAACTTCTAGGCAAATTACAGATGAGGCGCCACGCAGCCTCGTCCAAAACTGACCACTTACAAGAATCAACGCCAGCTATTCTGATTCATACACATAACTTTCCACGTCAACATTCGTGTCTCGGATATTGCTCAACCAAGACCCTCGTCGTCACCTTGGGATTGTTCGACTTCCCTGCTTGCGAGGGAATGACTGTTCTTTGCGCGTCAGAGCGAAATTCGTGTCGTCGTCGCCTAGTCATCAATGAAAACTCGAGGCACCAAATGCAGTGCACCGCAACCACTTATTCCGCCGAGAGTTTCGTTCCGCCAAACATCCCCCTTTTCCCTTCTGAACCCGCACTCCCTCCCTTCCCCGCCAAGGCTTGTGCTGCCGACTCCCCCCATTGGCTGCTGCTGCTGCTGCTTCCCCTTCGCCCGCATTCCAACATCCGCCATGGCCATGGCGATGTTCAAAACAGCTCCATTCTTTCAGCGACGCAGATGGTCGGTCAGTCATTCACACAGACAAACACGAACATCCAAAGACAGACACACCCCATTTCAGTGACCCACCCCACCCGCGCACCCCATTCAGTCCCCTGTGCTCTGCTGCACCCTTTCTCATATTCACGTCCCGTTGCCTCCATTTTCGGGAATTGCAGCTCCGTGCTGACCTCTTCACATTTCCCACTCATTCCAGCTTTCCCTACCCACCCCATCCTCTCCTCCTCCCCTTTACTCACAGCTCGCCTGTACATAAACTTTTTTGCCTCCATTTTCTCTCCACTCTCTCCACCCCTGCTTGCTCGCTCGCCTGCTAGAGTCCGAGCTCACAACTTGGGTAGGATAAAAGTACCCTGCGCTAGAAATTATTCCTTGTTGGAATTGGGTACCCATTCCCTTGAATTAACTACTCAAGGAATACGTTTGAACCCGAGTTACCTTCTTGTTCAACATATATATTCCGACATGGCGACGGCACCGTGGTTGAGGGTCATTCTCACGCGAGACAAGAGCGTTAGCAAGGCATTCAGCTCTTCCGCCGTCGTAAGCGCCGTGCCTTGCGGCCTCCGCCTCGCGCCTCCGCTCGAAGCGTCACCTCCTTCGGGAAAAGACGTGATTGTCCGCGCGAGATCATTCGGTAATGAGAAGGAGGAGGACGATCAGTGGAGGATGATGCTCGCATCTGGGAGAGATTAATGTCTATAACGGGGAAATTTGCGGAGCCGGTGCCGTTACGTATTCCGTCAAGCTGTGTTTCCTTTTCTGGTGCTGCTTTACCCGCGACCGGCAAGTGGCAATTTGACTGCTCCTATTTTCCTCAATGGAATCGAAGATGCTACCAATCTCCAAGAGATTACCAACCTACGGTAGTTTTGTACATCCGCCTATATCGCGTACATCCGTCTTACCTTGTACAGCAGGTTACGTTCCTGTATGCCGTTGTTATTCATTCAGGCTTCGTCATGGCCTGGAGTGTTTAGTTTTGTTACCTCGTGTTGCAGGCTTGCAGCGAATTGCCTGTTTGACGGCTCCAGGTTTGCAGCTTGCTGTGCTACTTGGGTTGCAGAAATGTTCAGTTTTCAACGGTATTGCTGTCTTGTGATTAGTGGTGTTCAATACACAGTGAATGAGCACCCTCACAACCAGTTATACGGATGGACGTCAGCAAGCACCGTATACCACTGCAACAGATTGAGAAAGCCATCCGTGTATGGTGGGCATGCTTTCACAGTGAGTGGGGTTGGCAGGTATTCCAACTTTCTCAAACTCAACTGAGATTAGGAATAAAAAGCACTATATTTGCTGTCAATTGTTGTCACCAACTTCATAAACTGCAGCTATATTTACAGAGCTCATAAAAGTAGGTGCACCAGCACTCATCTTCCTATCCCTACGTGTGCGCCTACTGTAATGTCAGACACTCTCCACCTACGTAGCCCCATCATAGCTTGTTATTTAGGTTATCCGTGCCTGTAAATATCTAGACACCTCACCACACCCAGCGGACTGGATCCATCCTCCTTGCAGACTCACGGTGGCTGCAGGACCCTCCTCTCCCCTCCCCATGCACGCCTGATCACGCCTGTAGGATTTCCGCATGCCAGAGATTCAAGCTAGCTTCTGTGTGCTCCACCCTCCCCTTGACATCTAGCATTGTTATGCTTCTGGCAATACACGCACCCTCCACGCACCCTCGCTAGATCCAAGCTCTTCCAACAAGCAAAGATACTCGAAGGGAATCTCTTCCCACAATGCCAAATACTCACCAATCGCAGTCATTCCTGACTGAACAAGACAGTCTTGCATATGCAGGCACCATTGCAACATTATTGTGCCTGTGGCGTTTCCGGCAGGCTCCCTCGCCCCATGCACTCCAGCTCCTCCCACAACGTCAAGTACTCCTCATAACTCCTCGCTGCCGCTTCAAACTCCTCCTTACGCCTTCTGGAATAAGATTTCCTGCCACACGCGCCAGGGGATACAGCTGCCAGCTGGCGCACGATGCTGATGTGGCGGTCCCACGCACGCCGACACTCCTCAGCCTTCCTCCGAACCTGCTCCCGAGCCTCCGCCAGCTGGCCCATCTCCTCCCGAGCCTCTGCTGCAGCAGCTTCGGCCCGGTGGGTTGCCTCCGAGGCAGCAGCCCTGGCTTGGTTCACTGCAGCCTGTGCTCGCCGAAGCTGCTCCTCAGCTTCGGCAAGGACTGCCCGAGCCTCCGCAGCAACCCGCTGCTCCTGAACCGCAGCCTTGGCATTGAAGCTAAGATCGTCTTCTAGTGCTGCCAGTGCCCGAGCCTCTAATTGGCCTAGAGAGCCGTTTTCCGTGCTACCGTTTACACCACTCTCAACACCACCGGCACCGCTCTGCAGAGCTTCCTGAAAAGTGCTCGGCTGCTCGGGTGAAGGCAGGGTGGGGTTAACATTGATGGGGGCAAGTCGGGCTGTAGCAACAGCACCAGTACCAGCAGCACCAGCACCAGTACCAGCAGCACCAGCACCAGTACCAGCAGCACCAGCACCAGTACCAGCAGCACCAGCACCAAGAGAAGTATTGCCAAAAGTAGCAACAGAAGAGAGATGAAAGGAAGAGCTGACGTGGATGCTGCCTGCTGAATTGGGCCTCAGTACAGAAACAGGTGGGTGTGGAGCTGTGACTATAGCAGGTGGGTGTGATGGTGTGACTATAACAGGTGCTATTGGGGTTGAGTGTGGGGCTGTAACTAATACAGGTGCTTGCACAGGTGGGTAAGGAGCTGTGACTGTAGCAGGAGCTGTCATGGGTGTTATTGGGGTTAAGTGTGAAGCTGTGACTATAGCTGGTGCCATTGCGTTTGAGTGTGATGTTGTGACTATAGAAGGTGCTATTGCAGGTGGGTGTGAAGCTGTGGTGATTGCTTGTGCTTCTATGATGGGGTGTGTCACTGTAGCAGGATGCGCCACTGTAGCAAGATGCGCCACTGTAGCAGGATGCGCCACTGTAGCAGGATGCACCACTGTAGCAAGATGCGCCACTGTAGCAGGATGCGCCACTGTAGCAGGATGCGCCACTGTAGCAGGGTGTGTCACTGTAGCAGGGCGCGTCACTGTAGCAGGGTGCGTTACTGTAGCAGGATGCGCCACTGTAGCAGGATGCGCCACCGTAGCAGAGTGCGCCACCGTAGCAGGGTGCGCCACTGTAGCAGGGTGCGCCACTGTAGCAGGATGAGTCACTGTAGCAGGATGTGCCACTGTAGCAGGGTGCATCAATGTAGCAGCTAGAGGAGCAGTGGCAGGAGGAGCAGCAGGAGGAGCAGTAGGAAGGAGAGCAACAGGATGAGTGGAAAGGAGAGCAGCAGGAGCAGGAGGAGGAGCAGCGGGAGCAGCAGAAGCAGCTGCAGTGGTCTCCTCTTCCCTCCTGTTCCTCTCCTCCCTCTCCCTCCTCTCCCTCTCCTCTACTTCCCTCCTCTCCCTCTCCTCCACTTCCCTCCTCTCCCTCTCCTCCGCTTCCCTCCTCTCCCTCTCCTCCTCTTCCCTCCTCTCCCTCTCCTCTGCTTCCCTCCTCTCCCTCTCCTCCTCTTCCCTCCTCTCCCTCTCCTCCACTTCCCTCCTCTCCCTCTCCTCCGCTTCCCTCCTCTCCCTCTCCTCCTCTTCCCTCCTCTCCCTCTCCTCTACTTCCCTCCTCTCCCTCTCCTCCACTTCCCTCCTCTCCCTCTCCTCCTCTTCCCTCCTCTCCCTCTCCTCTTCTTCCATCCTCTCCTTCTCCTCCTTCTCTTTCCTCTCCTTCTCCTCCACTTCCCTCCTCTCCTTCTCCTCCTCTTCCCTCCTGCCTCTCTCCTCCCCCTCCCTCCTGCTCATCTCCTCCCCTTCCATCCTCTCCTTCTCCTCACCCTCCCTCCTCTCCCTCTCAGCAACCACGATTCCCACCAGCTCGTCTTTTGACAGCCACGCCACTCCCGGGAGAGGCTTAAGGATGGAAGCAAGAATCTGAAAACCAACAGCAAGGGAAGGGGGAGTAGGTCGAAAGGGTGGGGGAAGGGGGAAAGAGGAGACAGTATTGAGGCACCACAGCCTCATCTTTTGACAGCCACGCCACTCCCGGGAGAGGCTTGAGGATGCTAGGATCTGAAATCAAGAGCAGAGGGAGAGAGAAATGGGGGGCAGGAGGAGAGGGGGAGCGGAAACAGTATAAGGAACCACGGTTCCCACCAGCTCATCTTTTGACAGCCACGCAACTCCCGGAAGAGGGGAAGGGAGGGGAGGAGGAAAAAGGGAGGGGGAACGGTATAAGGAAACTACCAGCTCGACTTTTGACAGCCATGCCAGTCACAGCAGTGGCCGAAGGATAGATGCGAGAAGCTGAAAGCAGAGGGGAGAGGAGAAGAGAAAAACAGGGCGGGTAGGAGGAAAGGGGGCGGGGAGGAGGAAAGGGGGCGGGGAGGAGGAAAGGGGGCGGGGAGGAGGAAAGGGGGCGGGGAGGAGGAAAGGGGGCGGGGAGGAGGAAAGGGGGCGGGGAGGAGGAAAGGGGGCGGGGAGGAGGGGGAGGAAAACATCCTGCAGCATATACCTGCAGCATTCCCTTTTTTTTATTTTCAGAATTCTCAGAAAACAGATAATTCCTGCAGCAGTCCCCTTTTTTTTGTATTCTCGAAAAACATATTATACCTGCAGCATTCCCACTCCCAGCTGCTGCAGCCCATCGTGCGTAAGTCCTTTATTCCTCCACACCCCTCTCTGCAGCGCCTGCAGCACCAAGCATCCCTCCTGCTTCCCCTTCTGCCCCTCCTTCCTCCCCTCCTGCTGCCCTTCCTTCTCCCCCTCCTCCTTCTCCCCCTCCTTTTGCCCCACCTGCGGCTGCACCTGCCGCTTCTGCCCCTGTCTCTCCTCCACCTGCTTCTGCCTGCGTCTGAGAGCAGTGGGAACGGCCAGGAAGCGAGTGTGCAAGGCCGTGCGGGGGAGCAGAGCAGACCACTGCTGCATGCACTCACTCGTTTTGCTCCTGCTCCTGCTATTACTGCTGCTGACGTCACCGCCGGGGCACAGGAACGCGTGCAGCTCCGCCACGTCACGCGCCAGGCTGGCGTCCAGCTGGCACAGGTCCACGTGGCCGCACACCATGCATTGTAGCTCTGTGGCAAAGAGATGGCGAGCAGAGCGGGCTGTATCGCTGGCTGTAGCGCCGGCTGTAGCGGCTGCGGTAGCGGCTGTAGCAGCTGTGGCACTTGTCATGGTGGCAGCAGCAGCGTGTGGGTTGCCACCAGCAGCAGCAACGGCACCGGCAGCAGCAGCATCGGTACCCCAAACAGGGGCAGAACCCCCAGGCTTTCCCATGGGTGTAGCAGGAGGGGCAGAGTTTTGGCGAGCGAGGAAGGAAGGAGGGGTGCGGAGAGGAGCGACGGGGGTGTAACCGGAAACAACACTCGACGGGGTAACCGGTATGGTAACCCTATTTGCGACACCACTGGATGGGGTAATCCCGCTAATTACACTAGTTGATGGGGTGACCGGATAAATAGCAAGGGCAGATGGGTTTGAGAATGCGGCTATTGCTGCTGCGACTGATGATGATGAAGGTGTTAGGCTGTTAGGGGTGGGAAATGTGGGTGTGATTATATCAGTGGGAGTCATTACATTAGCAGGGGTGGTAAGAGAGGTGGGTCCAGAGGGGTTCAGCGTGGTTTCAGAGGGGTTGGGCGCGGTTCCAGAGGTGTCAAAGCGGCTAGTTGTTCTGTGTGGGGGCTTGTGCTGCTGACTGCTTGTTCCAGGAATCGCTTGATTTGATATCAACAGTGATTGTGACTGTAACTGAGTGGCTGACTGTGGGGCTTTAAACTGTAACTGTGTGCTTGTATGTGGAGCTTTAAACTGTGACCGTGACTGTCCCTGTGTGACTGTACGGGGGGATTTGAACTGTGACTGTGCGCCTGCATTCCCCCCCATGAACACAGGAAGCGGGCTCCACATGTTGTCAATGGCACTCCCAAACACCTCCACCCCTCCCAACCACTCCCTACCCTGCCACACACTGCCACCAGCCGCACCGGCACCAACCGCACTGCTATCCATCACACCGCCACCAACCGCACTGCTATCCATCACACCGCCACCAACCGCACTGCCACCAGCCACACTAGCCCCTGGAACATTCGTGTCTCCTCCTGCTCCTTCTGCTCCTTCTGCTCCTTCTCCTCCCCTCACTCCTCTCCCTTCCCCTCCTGCATTTATCACCGACTCTCCTCCAAGTCCCCCTCCTGCCATCTCCCCAACCCTCACACCTAACGACCCCCCTATCACTCTCCCACCTTCCCCTGACCCTTCCCCTCGCTCCGAACCAGTCACTCCCCCATAGCTCGCAGCCCTGCCTTTCCTCCCAATCGCTCCCCCCCATCCCCCGCTTCCCTCCCCCTCCTCCTCCTCCCCCGAATCCCACGTGTCGTGGTCTACAGGGCTCCTGGGGGGGGTGGAGGAGCGTTTATAGGCTGCTAGTGCTTGAGCAGCCTTGGCTGCCGCTACAGACGTGGCAGCAGCACCGCTTGCCAGCGAGGCGGTGAAAGCGGCTGTAGCGGCAGGAGCAAGAGGGACAGCGGCAGGGGCGGCTGTAGCGGGGGGAGAGACGGGGGAAGGTGGCAGCGCTGCAGCCGCCTTGGCTGCCGCTACAGACGTGGCAGCAGCACCGCTTGCCAGCGAGGCAGTGAACGCGGCTGTAGCGGCAGGAGCAGGGATGAGGGCAGGGGCGGCTGTAGCAGCAGCAGGAGGGATTAGGGCAGGAGAAGTGGGAGCGAATGTATCAGCAGGGGGGACAGCAGGAGGGGCGGATGTAGCAGGGGGAACAGCAGCAGGGGCGGATGTAGCAGGGGGAACAGTAGCAGGGGCGGATGTAGCAGGTTGAACAGCAGCAGGGGCGCATGTTGCAGGGATAGCTGGGAGAAGAGCGGCTGTAGCACTGGAAGGGTCAGCAGGGGCGAGCGTGACAAGAGCAGAACCACTAGTGACAGAGGTGTCATTTATAGCAGCAGCTGTGGCATCTGTAGCAACAGTTGTGACTTCTGTAGCAGAAGCAGTGCCATCCGTGGCAGCAGTGCCATCTGTAGCAGCAGTAGTGGCATCTGTAGCAGGAGTGGTGGGATCTGTAGCAGCGGCAGCATCTGTGCCAGCAGCAGCATCTGTAGCAGCAGCAGCATCTGTAGCAGCAACAGACCCATCGGCAACATCTATTGCCGCAACAGAACCACTGGCACCAGCAGTAGCAGGAGCAACATTTGTAGCAACACTGGCCACATCTGTAGCAGCAGACCCATCGGCAACATCTATTGCCGCAACAGAACTACTGGCACCAGCAGTAGCAGGAGCATCAGCAAAATCTATTGCTGAAACAACTTCACTGGCATTAGTGGCAGCAACAGCACTAACACTAGCCGTGGTAGCATCATTATCACCAACACCATTAGATGAATCAACCGTGGGAGAAGAGGGCACAGCAGTAGCAGAGACAGCGGCAGCAGTGGCAGCAGCAGCAGCAGCACTAACACTAGCCGTGGTAGCATCATCACCAGTAACACCATTAGCGGAATCAGCAGTGGGAGAAGAGGGCACAGCAGTAGCAGAGACAGTGGCAGCAGGAGTGTCAGTGGCAACAGCAGGTGCGGGGTCAACTGAAGTCACATCATCCCCAACAGAAGGAGACACACCATCCTCCTCCTGAAACACTTCTGGAACCCCCTCTGCAGGTGCATCAGCAGCACTGCTATCAGCAGCAGCACTGCTATCACCACCACCGCTGCTCCTGCTGCTGCTTCTAGTGTGTGAATGCCTGACAGAATGCAAGCTTTCTTGGCTGCTGCTTCTGCCCTTTCCCTTCCTCCTCCTCCTCCTCCTCTTGCTGCTGTTGCTCCTCCCGCTGCTGTTGCTCCTGCTGCTATTTCCGCTCTTGCCACTGCTCCCTCTGCTGCCCTTGCTGCTGCGCCTCTTGCTCCTCCTGCCCCCATTCTGGATATCACTACTGCTCTTACCACCCTCGCTGCAACTGCTCCTGTCATCACCCGTATCAGACTTGCTGTCCCTACCGCTATCCCTGCCCCTGTCACTGCCACTACCCCCTTCATCTGTGTCACTGCCACTGCCCCTGCAACTGCCACTCTCACTACCACTACCACTACCGCTGCCATTACTATGGTTACTACTATGGTTACTACTGTGATTACTGCTGTGGTTACTGCTATGGGAACTGGCACCATCATCACTAGCACTGCCCTTGCTCCTGCTGCTCTCAGCACCACCTGACCTGCTCCTTCTGCTGCTGCTCCCTCTGCTGCTCCCTCTGCTCAGCCTGCTGCTCTCCCTGCTGCTCTTGCTGCTCCCCCTGCTGCTGCCCTTCTTGCTGCTATTCCTGCTGCTCCTATCACTCCCCCTATCCTCCTCACTATCATGACTGCCACCACTGCTTCTGGTTCTGCTTCTGCTGCTGCTGCTTTTTCTGCTGCTGCGACTTTTCCCACCATCACTAGCATGATCCTCGTTATAAGACTCCCCAGAACTGTGTCTGATCACAGAAGGCGCGTCTATAACACTGCAACTGCCCGCATCCCCGTTAGAAGACTCTCCAGAACTGTGTCGGATCACCGAAGGGGCGTCAACAGCACTACTACCATTGCTACCCGATCTATACACGTCGGATTTTCCTAAATCGCCCTGAATCCGGTGGTTTTCCCTGCCCTCCTGCTGCCGCCGCTGCTGCTTCTGCTGCTCCTCCTCCTCCTTCTGCTGCTGCTGCTGCCGCTGCTGCCACCACTCCTCCTCCTCCTGCTGCTTCTTCAGCTGCTCCCTCCGCCACGCCTCTTCCTCCTGCTGCCGTCTCTGCTGTTCCTGCAACAATGCCTCTCTCTCTCTCTGCAGTTGTAACTCCCTCTCCTGCTGTTTCCGTTTCTCCAGCATTACTAGTCTCATATCTCCCACACGTATACTTGGCAACCTCAAGATCCCCTCCCCTTCCCCCTCCCCGTCCTGCTCCTGCTGCTGCTGTTGCTGCTGCTGTTGCTGCAGTTGCCGCTCCTGTTGTTGCTGCACCTCCCACTCCTGCTGTTCCCTTTTCTCCTGCATTACTCTCCGCATATCCCCCACCCGTATACTCGGCAGTCTAAGCACCCCCATTCCTCCCCCCTCGTCCTCCTCCTCTTTCCCTCCACCACCCCTGCTCTCCCCATCTCCCTCACTCTCCTCCCCACTCTCCCCTTCCTCCTCCCCTTCACTCACCCCATTCGCCTCTCTCCCCTCCTCCTCTTCCTCCTCCCTCATTCCCCCTCCCACCACACCCCCACTCTCCTCCCCGTACAAATCCTCCTCCTCTTCCTCCTCCCCATACCCCTCTCCATACAAATCCTCCTCCTCCTCATCCTCATCCTCCTCCTCCATTCTCACAGGTACAACCTTCACCAGAGAAGCCCCCCTCACAACACCCCCCAGGCTCTGATTCCTACCGCCCAAACTCAGTGTTCGTCCCCCTAAGCTCATCGTTCTCTCTCCTAGCCCGGGCATCCGACCCATCAGCAACCCTCTCTCTGCTGCTCCAGCCGCCACAGTAGGAGGAGCAGCCCTACCAGCCCATAGGGTGCTAGACCGAACGAATTCAGGAGCAGCAGCAGAGGCATTGGGATTGGCAGAGGGATTGGCAGAAGCAGTAGAGGCTGCGTTCTCTCTATAAGCAGCTGCGGTAGAAGCAACTGGCGCTTTAGCGGGGGGGATGCCGCCCCTAGCGCCCCTGCCCACCCATAGGGTCTGGGAGCGGATGAAACCGTTTGGTTCCAGTTTAAGCTCATCCCTCTGCTCTTCTAACGGGGACAAAGGGCCTAGGTCTAGCTTCCGGCCATAAACCTGCCCCTGCTGCTGCCCCTGCTGCTGCTGTTGCTGGTAATTCTGCTGTTGCTGCTGGGAGTACAGCTGTTGAGACTGCTGATACTGCTGCTGTGGCGGTTGCTTTCTAGCTGCTAACGCACTCACTAGCCCACCCCCACCACTGGCAGCAGAAGAAGCAACAGAAGCATCATCACCACCACCACCACCAGCACCTGAAGCGAGCTCCTTTCCTGCAGAGAAAGAGCGTGCAAAAGCAGCACCGAATCTCTGTGCGAGACTCTGCATTCCCCCGCCGTATGCACTTTCTCCGTATCCCCCCTGGCCACCCTGCTGCCCTCCCTGCCCTCCATACCCAGACCCCTGTGGTACACCCACAGGGGCAATGAGCGTCCCTCTTTGTCCCCCATATAGAGTTCCTCCCGGTACTGACTGCCCCGCTGCCCCTTCTGCACTCCTACTAGCAGGAACCCGCTCTGTTAAAGAGCGATTGAATACAGGCTGTAAGGCGGCTACACTTCCGGACATGGTTCGTGCCGGAGGCTCGGATTTAGCTTCGGAAGCAGCTTCGGTTCGGAAATTAGGGTTAGGGTTAGTGAAGCCGGAACCGAAACTAGCAAAAGAGACCGAGCTGATTACCGAACCTGGAGTGGAGGTTTGGGTTTGTGTGGACGAGGAGGGAGGTCTGGAAGTAGGAGCTGGAGGTATCTTAGGTTTGAAAAAAAGGGAGAAGGTGGAAGGGAGAATGGAGGAGGAGGAGGAGAAAATGCCCTCTCCTCCCTCCTGCTCACTTGCAGAAGCACCAGCAGACGCAGCAGAAGCAGCAGAAGCAGCAGAGACTGTCGCTGCTGTAACCGCTGCTTCTGCAGCTGCTGGATTCGCTTCCACTGCAGCAGTGCTCGCAGGCGTTGCAGCAGCAGCAGCAGCTGCAGCAGAGGGCGAGTGCATTGCAGCAGCTTTACCGCGCCAGGGCCTAGGGGAGAGGGCTGGAGGGCTGCTGGACGGAGGAGCCGGGCGAAACATGGGCACTGACGGTGATGCAGACGCTGTGGGAGCAGGGGGAGTAGCAACAGGAGTACTTTTGAGTCGACTCAAAAGGGCTGGCGGGCTGCTGGACGGAGGAGCCGGGCGAAACATGGGCACTGACGGTGATGCAGACGCAGTGGGAGCAGGAGCAGTAGCAGCAGCAGAAGCACCAGCAGCACCAGCAGCAGCACCAGCCCTAGTCACAGGGCCATTCATGACAACGGCGCTTGCAGCTGTAGCAGCTGTTGCAGCTGAGGCTGTAGCAGTTGCAGCTACAACCGAGGCTTCTTTGGGTCTCCCTTGTGCCGAACCTGGTCTGGACGAGCCTGATCCACCCCTGGACAATCCCGAGCCTGGTCCTGAAGACGCCGAACCTGGCCGCGACGACGCCGAACCTGGCCTTGATGACGCCGAACCAGGCCGGGAGGAGGCTGAACCTGGCTGCAATGGCGCCGAGGCAACCACTCTTCCTGCGAGACCTGTCGTCCCTCCCGCTCCCACTCCCGCTCCCACTCCCACTCCTGCTCCTGCTCCTGATCCCGCTCGCACGGCTGCATCTGCTGCCACACCCCTTGCCGCTATCCCACCAGCCATCACATCCCTAGCAGCACCGCCCGTCGCCTCAACCACCCTTTCTCCCACCGCACTCCGCCCATCCCCACCCGAAACTGCCCGTATTTGAACCTGTTGTGTTTGTTGAGCCTGTTGCGTCTGAGCCTGCTGTGCCTGCTGTGCTGCTTGTGTCTGTTGTGCTGCTTGTGCTTGTTGTGCCTTCCTCCAGGCGTCTGAGTGGCAGATAAGGTCGAGAAGCTGCCCCTTCTTTAGCTTCCACAGCCCGTCCTGTGGGGTGAGCAGCACTGCAAACAGCTGCAGCACCTCCCGCCTCTGCGCCTTGAGGCTTTCCGTGGTCAGCCCGTGGGACAGCAGGACCGCCTGGTAGGTCTGCAGTAGGAGAAAAAAGGGGGAAGGGGGATGAGAAGACGAGCAATGAATATCACCTCCCGCCGCTGCACCTCTTTCTTCCAAAAGCTGCTCTTTTCTGAGCCGGGTGGAAAGTCTGAACAGTGTTGAAGGTATTCTAAGAAGTGTTCTAATCGGTACCCTAAGACTTGGAGCCTACGAACGCCCTTACGAACGTGCAGACAGTTTTCGAATCGCTACCGCCTGTTAACCGTCTGCTATGACTGCTAACCGCTAAAGGCTCACACATACCTGTAGCAGCACCGGGTGCGAGGTGCGAACAGTGTTGAGATACTCAAAGATGTAGATCCGATTCGCTGCACTCTCCTCGAGACTAGAAGCCTAGGACCATCTCACAATGCACACCCCATCATGAACACCCTACCATACCTGCAGGAGCGCCGGGTGCGAGGTCCGAACAGTGTTGAGATACTCAAAGATGTAGATTCGATTCGCTGCACTCTCCTCGAGACTAGAAGCCTAGGACCATCTCACAATGCACACCCCATCATGAACACCCTACCATACCTGCAGGAGCGCCAGGTGCGAGGTCCGAACAGTGTTGAGATACTCAAAGATGTAGATTCGATTCGCTGCACTCTCCTCGAGACTAGAAGCCTAGGACCATCTCACAATGCACACCCCATCATGAACACCCTACCATACCTGCAGGAGCGCCGGGTGCGAGGTCCGAACAGTGTTGAGATACTCAAAGATGTAGATTCGATTCGCTGCACTCTCCTCCAGACACGCCCACGCGTCCCTATCCCCCAGGAACGCCTTTATCAGCGCGCAGTCCGCCCCCTCAAACTCCAACCTCCGCGTTCCACCTGCGCCACTGACTGCTAACCGACTTCTAACCAACTGCTAACCGACTGCTGTGACTGTTAGCCGACTGCTGTGACTGCTAACCGACTGCTGTGACTGATAGCCGACTGCTGTGACTGATAGCCGACTGCTGTGACTGCTAGCCGACTGCTACAAGAAATATACCTGCAGGAGCGCCGGGTGGGAGGTGCGAACAGTGTTGAGATACTCAAAGATGTAGATTCGATTCGCTGCACTCTCCTCCAGACACGCCCACGCGTCCCTATCCCCCAGGAACGCCTTTATCAGCGCGCAGTCCGCCCCCTCAAACTCCAACCTCCGCGTTCCACCTGCGCCACTGACTGCTAACCGACTTCTAACCAACTGCTAACCGACTGCTGTGACTGTTAGCCGACTGCTGTGACTGCTAACCGACTGCTGTGACTGATAGCCGACTGCTGTGACTGATAGCCGACTGCTGTGACTGCTAGCCAACTGCTACAAGAAACATACCTGCAGGAGCGCCGGGTGGGAGGTGCGAACAGTGTTGAGATACTCAAAGATGTAGATTCGATTCGCTGAACTCTCCTCCAGGCACGCCCACGCGTCCCTGTCCCCCAGGAACGCCTTTATCAGCGCGCAGTCCGCCCCCTCGAACTCCAACCTCCGCGTCACCTTCCACCCGCGCCAGTCCACCACTCCCGCCCCGCCCCCTCCGCCCCCTCCGCCTGCTCCGCCTGTTCCGCCGGCTCCGCCGTCCGCCTCCCCTCTTCCCACGCCGTACGCATCCCCGCTTCCCCCTTGCCTAGTATCCCCACCCCCATGATTCTGTTGCTGCTGCTGTTGCTGATAGTGATGGTACTGCTGCTGCACCTGCGCCTGCTGCTGCTGATGATGTAGATGCTGATGCTCCTGCTGTAGCAAGTGCGGTTGTAGCGGGTGCGACTGTAGCGAGTGCGGCTGTACTGGGCGCGCCTGCCCATGCGCCAGCTGCCCCCGCTCCCGCGACTGCGCTCCCCCGTCCTCTTCCGCGGACCCCCTACCCCCCGCCACCGCCCCGGACCCATTCCCCCCAGAAGACTCCCCGACCAGGCTCCCCACAGAGCCATTCCGCGGTAACTGCGCGCGGGCGGACCTCTCTCTCCGCTTCCCCTCCGAGCTCCCCCCGCTGTCCGCCGCGCCCGCGGACAGGGACGCGGAAACGGCGGAGTTCCCCACGCCGACTCCGCTGGCGGTAAACGCTTTCCGCCTCGCTCTGCGCGCGCTTCTGTCCGTCGCGTCGGACCGCGGCGAGCTGCGGTTACTGGAGCTGCTTATAGAGGAGCGCGCAGACGACACGCGGGAAGCCGCGTGACTGTTTCCCCCCGGCGCGTGCACCTGACTGGCACTCTGCGCGCTCGCGTGGCCGTAGCCTTGGTTGTAGCTGTGGCTGTAGCTCCGTCTCCCCCCCGGGTCCTCGTCTCTATCCGCTTCCGCCAAAATAGCGGCGGCGGCGGCAGCGGCGGCGGACGTGCCCGCCCACGCGGGGTTGGTTCCGCTTCTTCCTGCGCCCACAAATCCGCCAGCTGCGCCTGCTGCGCTTGCGGGGACGGATGCTCCGCCTCCCACCCCCCGGGTTGCGCCAGTGGCGGAAACAAAAGCGGAAGGCGGTGCAGCTGCGGGAGCGGCGGAAGTAGAGGCGGGCGCCGCCCCTGGGGGTGGTCCACGGTACGGGGGTCCGTAAGACGCGTTGGAGGCAGATGAACCGGAGTTGTAACCGTACGGGGAGATGTAACCGGCTGTGCCCGGGACAGCCGACGTGCCGTACGGGCCACGGTAACCGGCCGTGTAACCACCGTTATTCGGAGCACCATAACTGGTTCCCTGAAAAACGGACGTACTGGGGTAACCAGACAAGGCGTTTCCTGCAGACGGAATAGGGTAACCCGATGCACCAGTGTAACCTGAGGTCGCATAAACTGGTCTGACAAAGCTATGCTGTTGCTGCGGCTGTGGCTGTGGCTGCTCAGGAGTTGGAGCCGTGTCAATGCGAAGACCACGAAACCTTTCCATAGAAAGTTTTAACCGTTACGTATCAACCATGAAAGAGAGGATTGTTCGAATAAAACCATATCGAATCAGCCTTCCTCTGCGATGCGCCTGCAAACGGCACGGGTGATGTGGAGACGAGCGAGAGGCTCGTTAGCCATAATTGGAAAAACAAGTAAAATAAGGAAATCAGGGGAGACGGCTGGGGCCTAGTGATAGCTTTTAGAGAACAGTCCAATCGTTTTACTATGGCAAGCCGCACCTAGACATGTGCTTCTCCCGTGTGGCATTGTTGCACGTCCCTATAACGGGGATGACTTCCATCAGGTACTACCTCGGACCTCCTCTTGCTGGACGAACCACACGCGGAACGCAGACAGTGATAAGTTATCAGCACTTCTCAGTAGGGCGACGAAAGATCTCGAAACGACGAGCCTACAATCAGTTTAATCATGTTCTAGGCGATTGATACGGGAGCGGAATATACATACAAGGGATGGATGGAACAAAATACAACACACAAGATAGACGTCACAAGCGCGTAGTACTGTAAACTAACCTCTACTGAACCCTAAAATCGGCAGTCTTGTTGTGCTGCTAGCTCACAGAGTGAAAGTAAGGAAACCCTAAATAGGTGGTTCCATCCACTGTTTACCTGCTGCTGAGGGCGCGTCCCCTCCCTCGATCGATCCTGCCCTCGATCGATCGAGGGACAGCTACAGTGTCGCAATTGACCGGGTAACCAGATTTCGAGATGGCTTGCGAATATACAGTAACTGGTGCCCAACGATCTTGTCACCTCCACTGATGACGATCGATGTGCCTTCGTGGCCATATCGATCTCGGCTTTTGTAGGATCGAGAGTTTTTCCCCCTTGTATTTTCAACCCTGTCACCTTGGGCTCGGGATCGATCCCCGATTGTCACCTCCTACCAATCCCACCCCAATCCTGCGATCGGTGTGCCCGATCGGTTTTTCACGGCGATCTCGCGATCGATCGAGGGAGGGGACGCGCCCTGAACCTTGAGGAGCACGACATGTGCGACGCAGTCGCCCGTACCTTCACGAACAAGAAAGAACTTCATTCGCGCGAAGCTTTTCTCAGCTGGGACCTTTGTCGCCAGTCAAGAGTGATGTGTTTCCTGCCCTTTCGCTGATCTATCAGCCGAGCGCGCTCGCGACAAGATCAAGGGGCGAACGCCTGCCATCAATCAAGGTGTTGGGCTTGTTACCTATCTCGGGAAATACAAGGGAAGGGGTTAGCCTTGTAACGAAGATAGGACAGGACCATTGCTTGTACCGTACCTCAATGACAGTGTACTTCTGTGGAGTATTTATTATGACTTGTCCTTGACAACATATATAATGTTTGCAACAAAACTTTGCGTCTCTGTGAAGTATTTCTTTCTTTTATGGTTCAGCAATTTGTTCCAACGAAACTCAGATATCTGTCACTGAAGCATGTCAGCATCAACGTGACACCACATTCACTCCACCCAGCAAGTATGCAATTCACAGTCGAGATTTCACTTCGACATCAATAACTTTGTCTCGCTTGTGCTCAGGCTGTGGTGGAAGTTTCTTGACGGAAACCGTCAATATGCCGTCCACACAGGCAGCCGTCACACGATCTACGTCTGCATCAGACGGAAGCTGAAACTCCCGAGTAAAGCTCCCGTGCACTCGTTCTCTCCATATAACCCGCTCGTTAGCCGACTTCTCCTGACGACGTTCTCCCTTGAATGAAATAACAAGCGTTTCAGGATCAACTCTCACTTTCAAATCCTTTCCTTGAAACCCAGGTACGTCGACACGGAAAATATAATCGGTGGGTGTTTCGACGATATCCACCGGGGCCATTCAGACAGGAAATGACAACGGCGAGGGCTCACTGGTACAGGGGGCTGGAAAAGCGACGCACAATGCAAACGAAGAACAATTTAAGGGCGGGTCATACTCATCAGAATTTGGGGAATCACACAAAAATCTCGAAAATGACCACAGTTCGGAAAACAAACACCAAATCGTGCGATTTCATGAGCAGTGTCCATTTGGGCTCGGAAAGGACACCCTTTCGCGGAAACGAAACGGGCGCAGATGGCATATTACTATACACGAAATGGCTGCTTTCGTGAAGGGTAACCAGGAAATGGTGAGCCGGCAGAGGTTGGTTATATTTTGGGGAAGGGCGAGAGGGACCACGCGCATGCGAAACAGCTCATGTCGTTAATATTCGTACTTGTCAACTGGCGAGGGTGTAGCGGCTTCGGCAGTGGAACAATGCGAAATCATAACAATTTTTTAACGTGCAGTTACTGTGACGTCGCACGTTCCTGCGAGTTCCTGCGCGGCGAAGTATCACGTCATGATACATTCGGTTCAACTTTTGATGCGGTTACCCTGCAAAAAATGGTTACAGCGGCCAAAATTGACCTGACCTGTGATAAGTATGACCCGCCCTAACAGTCTGCGCGTAGTCCGGGGAATAAAAACGCCTTATGCGTGGAGTAGATGCCTAGCAAGCGTGCGAGCAGCGGCAAGAAAGTTCAGGAAGAATTTGGCGACAAAATCGTGGTGGGGGGAGGAGACTTCGTCAGGAGGCTCACTTTGTCGAGACGGGGCCAAGCGAAGTGCATCTGCGAATCTGCACGAAATGAGCTTCTGTTCAGGCACTCGTCCTCGATAGTACGCTCCCAGTACTGTTGATGTATAGGGGACTCTAACAAGTGCAGCTCTACCCATCCAGCACACATGGGAGATTGCATTTACAGGTGCGTTTCATGAATGGCATGTCAATTCATCGGTAGCTGTCACCTACTACAAAGAATGAGACTGCTTGTAGGGCCCCTCAGACAACACCAAATCACTGTGCAGATAAAGATTTCTCATGAATAACACTGGGAAAATGCACTTGATAGTGTTATAACACAACCCAAGAAGAGCGGAAAGGGTTGAAGAACCAGTATCTTTAGTCAGAAGTCAACCTTACGTTGAATGACAGGCAGCATGCCAGGAAAACATGGTGAGATGGGATGGGATAGGATGCTTCAGTTTTGGTGTAGAACCTGGCCGACAGGACATAACCCCCGAGCCTGTCATTCCAAAGCTATCATCCTCAGCTTGTCCTCCCGAACCTATCATCCCGAACCCGTCCTCCCAAACCTATCATCCCGAGCCTTGGTCCGCAGTGGAGGCGGCCGCCATGGCAGCGGCGATCCGAAGCACATCGAGAGCTTCGGAGACCTTGGCTCGGAGGGCGTCTGGGGATTGCAGCAGCATGAGCAGCTCCCCCTTGTCCATCTCCAGCAGCATTCCCGTGATCTTGCCCGCATGCTCCGGCTCCTGACGCGCCACTAGAGGGTACAGCTGCTCCCCCAGTATCTGCGGGGTAGGGGAGGGGGGGGGAAGGGGAGAGCACAGGGGAGGGGAGGGGCAAGCAGGGAGGGGCAGTTAATGGCAAGGAGGGAGGGAGGGAGGGAGGGAGGGAGGGACAGAGGACGGAACAAGAAGAAAGGGGACCACAGCAGCATGAGCAGGTCTCCCAGGTCCATCTCTAGGAGCACCCCCCTGGCACACCCCTCCCCCCGTCCGTTCCTTCCACATTGGAGCGACTTTTGAGAATTCGCACCAATAAAGCACCAATAAAGCACCAATAAAGCACCAATAAAGCACCAATAAAGCACCAATAAAGCACCAATAAAGCACCAATAAAGCACCCCCCTGGCACACCCCTCCCCCCGTCCGTTCCTTCCCCAGTCATGGAAATCGACATAGATATCCCACCCACACCACCACATGCACACTCACTCCCACACCTTCTTAATCACTTCCTCCTAGCTCACTCCACGCCCCCTCTCTCGCACTCACCGCTCGCTGCTGCTCTGGCTGTGCCGATGCCACGGCTGCTGCTAGCACCTGAATCGGCACCGGCCCTCCTAAACCTCCAAGCACACCCCCTGCTTCACCTCCCCCACTCTCTCTCAAGATATAAAGCCAATGGACACATCACAACCACATGCACACTCACCGCTCGCTGCTGCTCTGGCTGTGCAGACGCCACTGCTGCTGCCAGCACCTGAATCGGCACTGACCCTCCCAGACCCCCCGGCACACCCCCTCCCCCGGCCCCCCCTCTCAAGTTATAAAGCCAATGGACACACCACACACTCTCTCCCACTCACCGCTCGCTGCTGCTCCGGCTGTGCTGATGCCACTGCTGCTGCCAGCACCTGAATCGGCACCGGCCCTCCCAAACCCCCCGGCACGCCGCCTCCCCCGCCCCTCGGCCCCCCCTGCACCCGCTGCTGCCGCTGCTGCTGCTGCAGGGAGAAAGAAGGGGAAAGAACGGGGGTGGAGGGAATTTGTGAGAAAAGGTGAGAGTCTTAAGCACCTGAATCGGCACTGGCCCTCCCAGCCCCCCCGGCACACCTCCTCCCCCGCCCCTCGGCCCTCCTTGCACCCGCTGCTGCCGCTGCTGCTGCTGAAGATGGGGAAAAATATGAGCCTACTTAAAACATAAGGCTTGAATTGGCACCAGTCCTCCCTATTCCCCAAGCACACCCCCTGCTGCTCCAACCCTCACAGTTCTGCTGATTTTTTAGTCGACTCAAAAGTCAATACTTCTAGTCTCAGCATTCTCACCTGAACAGACGCCCCTTACTGGTATGTACACATTGGGATTCGAGGCCCCCACCATGTCTCGCGCCCCTCCACCATACTTCCTGCCCTCACTGCACTAGAGTCTAGCCCCCACTGCCCCCCACCCACCTGCACAGGTGCCCCTTGGGCTGCCCCGTACTGCTGCTGCTGTCGCATGTACACATTGGGATTCGGCCCCCCCACCATGCCTGGTGCTCCCCCGGGCACCATCCCTGGGGGCCCCATCACTGGTGCTCCCATTCCCAATCCCCCCACGCACCTGCACAGGCGCCCCTTGGGCTGCCCCGTACTGCTGCTGCTGTCGCATGTACACATTGGGGTTCGGTCCCCCCACCATGCCTTGTGCTCCCCCACCATATTGCCTGCTGTTTCAACTCTCACTGCTCTAGCCCCCTAACCCCAAAACCTTGAACCCTAACCCAACACACCTGCACAGGCGCCCCTTGGGCTGCCCCGTACTGCTGCTGCTGTCGCATGTACACATTGGGATTCGGCCCCCCCACCATGCCTGGTGCTCCCCCGGGCACCATCCCTGGGGGCCCCATCACTGGTGCTCCCATTCCCAATCCCCCCACGCACCTGCACAGGCGCCCCTTGGGCTGCCCCGTACTGCTGCTGCTGTCGCATGTACACATTGGGGTTCGGTCCCCCCACCATGCCTTGTGCTCCCCCACCATATTGCCTGCTGTTTCAACTCTCACTGCTCTAGCCCCCTAACCCCAAAACCTTGAACCCTAACCCAACACACCTGCACAGGCGCCCCTTGGGCTGCCCCGTACTGCTGCTGCTGTCGCATGTACACATTGGGGTTCGGTCCCCCCACCATGCCTTGTGCTCCCCCGGGCACCATTCCCGGTGCCCCCATCCCTCCTGCCATGCCCGGTGCTCCCCCCATGCCTCCTGTTCTAACCCCCACTGCCCGTCCCCCTCACCTGCACAGGCGCCCCTTGTGCCGCCCCATACTGCTGCTGCTGTCGCATGTACACATTGGGGTTCGGTCCCCCCACCATGCCTGGTGCTCCCCCAGGCACCATCCCCGGTGCCCCCATCCCTCCTGCCATGCCCGGTGCTCCCCCCATGCCTGCTGGTAACACCATGCCTGGCCGCATGGGCTGCTGGGAGTAGGGGTATGGGGGCTGGTGGGTGTGGGTGGAACGGGGTGAGAAGAGGTGGAGAGGGGTGGGAAGCGGTGGGAAGGGAGGGAGGGAAAGAGGGCTAATTAACTGGTACTCACACATACCCCCATTCGGCCTGCACCCATTCCTGGTGCCATGCCCGGTGCTCCCCCCATGCCTACTGGTAACACCATGCCTGGCCGCATGGGCTGCTGGGAATAGGGGTACGGGGGCTGGTGAGGGGAAGGGGCGGGGCCGCGGGGGGAGGGTGGGGAAGAAAAGGGCGGCGCATGTGCAAGGGATGATGAAGAATTGACGAAGGTGTAAACACATGTTGTTGCTGAGGTGCCTTATGTTTTGTTAGGGGAGGAGCCTACCTCAGGAGGGAGGTTTTTGAGTCGACTCAAAGAAGGGCGGCGCATGTGCAAGGGATGATGAAGAATTGACGAAGGCGTAAAAACATGCTGTTGTTTAGGTTCCTTATGTTTTGTTACGGGAGGAGAGGAGCCTACCTCAGGAGGGAGGTGGTGCCTGGGCAGGCAAGGCAGCACTCCCGGTTGGTTGCTGAAACGTGGCTTGCAGCTGCGCCTGCCGCTCTGCCTTGGGCTGTGCCATCGTCGCCTGCTGCTCAAAGCACTGACGTGGTGGCACAGCCTTGGGCAGCTGCGCCTGCCATACCTTTCCCAGTTGGTTGCAGAACCCTCCCCCTGCTGTGCCACCACCCTGTTTTTGAGTCGACTCAAGAACAGGTACCTTTCCCAGTTGCTTGTAGAACCCTCCCCCTGCTGTGCCACCACCCCCCTGCAGCAGCCACACCAGCGACACCACAACAGCAGCAGCGGCAGCAGCCCGAGGGTGGGGCTGCCACTCTGCCTTGGGCTGTGCCATCGTCGACTGCTGCTCAAAGCACTGACGTGTAAGCCGTACCTTTCCCAGTTGGTTGCAGAACCCTCCCCCTGCTGTGCCACCACCCCTCTGCAGGGGGGAGCATAGTACCCCCCTGCAGGAGCCACACCAGCGACACCAGCAGGGGAGGTGTTACCTCAGGAGGGAGGTCATACCTGGGCAGGCGTTACTATCCGTTGCGAGTAGAACCCTCCCTGCTGTGCCACCACCCCCCTGCAGCAGCCACACCAGCAACACCACAACAGCAGCAGCGGGAGCAGCCCGAGGGTGCCCCCCCTCCCGCTGCCGCTGAGGCATTGTCCCAGGAAGAAAGTGTGGAGGAAGGTCATACCTGGGCAGGCATTATTATCCGTTGCGAGTAAAACCCTCCCTGCTGTGCCACCACCCTTGGGGCCCCATATTCCCCCCCTGCAGCAGCCACACCAGCGACACCAGCAGGGGAGGTGTTACCTGAGGAGGGAGGTCGTACCTGGACAGGCATCATACCCGGCTGTGCGTAGAACCTTCCCTGCTGTGCCACCACTCCTGGGGGGGAAACGATATATGTTCTACAGATCCTTGAAGGAAAGGTCGTACCTGGACAGGCATCATCCCTGGCTGTGCGTAGAACCCTCCCTGCTGCGCCACCACCCCTGGGGGGGCATAATACCCCCCTGCAGCACCAACGGCAGCGGCAGCCCGGGGGTGGGGCTGTCCCCCCCGCTGCTGCTGAAACATCGCCTGCAGCTGCGCCTGCCGCTCTGCCTTGGGCTGTGCCACGGCCACATAGAGAGGCTTTCCCTTCACCATCTTGCTGTTCAGTGCTGCGAGCTGTTGTGGGAGAGAAAGGGGGGGGAAACAAAGGAAGTGGCAAGAGGAACTGAATGGTTGAGAGTGCCTGCCGCTTAGGGTTGCTGCTGAAACATCGCCTGCAGCTGCGCCTGCCTCTCCGCCTTGGGCTGTGCCACGGCCACGTAGATAGGCTTTCCCTTCACCATCTTGATGTTCAGCGCTGCGAGCTGAGAGAAAGGAAAGGGACAGGCAGAGAAGGGAGAGAAGGGAGAGAAGGGAGAAAAGGGAGAAAGCACAAGGGAACGAAGGAGAAGGAAGCAAGTACAGAGGGCATGAGTGCCTGCCGCTCCGCCTTGGGCTGTGCCACGGCCACGTAGAGAGGCTTTCCCTTCACCATCTTGCTGTTCAGTGCTGCGAGCTGGGGGTAAAGGGGGAGAGGAGAGACAAGGGAACGATAAAGGAGGGACGCAAACACGGATTGAGTGCCTGCCTGCCGCTCCGCTTTGGCTATGCCACGGCCACGTAGAGCGGCTTTTTCTTCACCATCTTGCTGTTCAGTGCTGCGAGCTGGGAGTATACGGGGAGAGGAGAGACAAGGGAACGATAAAGGAGGGAAGCAAACACGGATTGAGTGCCTGCCTGCTGCTCCGCTTTGGCTATGCCACGGCCACGTAGAGCGGCTTTCCCTTGACCATCTTGCTGTTCAGTGCTGCGAGCTGGACAGGAAGAGAAAAACAGACAGAAAAAGGGAGAGAACATAGAGGGAATGACTGCCTGCCGCTCCGCCTTGGGCTGGGCCACAGCCACATAGAGCGGCTTTCCTTTCACCAACATGCTGTTCAGTGCTGCGAGCTGGGAGAAAGGAGGGTGGAGGGAAGGAGGGAGGGGAAAATGAAGGGTGAAAGGGGGAACGTGCAAAAGGAATCGCTTGTATGAGAGTTATACCGCCCATGCACAGTCCTAAAAAAAAAACCAGCTTTGCTCATAGCGAGTACAAAGTGCAGAGGCATTCTAGTCCCACAGGTTTTGGCGAGTACAAAATGTAGAGTACACCTTACTCAGAGCTTATAGCGAGTACAAACTGTACAGCACAAACTACTCACCGCCTTGGCCGCATCTGCCTCATTTGCAAACAGCACGAAGCCAGCACCCTTGCTGCCCCCCGTCTCGTGCTTGAGAATCTGGTGGATCGAAGGGTGTTCAAAGTGGGGGGAAAGGGGTGGGGGAGAGGGGGATTTAGTGGAAACGACAGGGAGTGGAGAAGGAAGTAAGGCCGGAGATCACGCATGATGGGCCCTTTCAAGGGCGAAAGACAAAGGGTAGGCAGGTGAGAGGGGGGCGCCCTTGCTGCCCAGTAAGAACGGGAGGAAAGTTGCCTTTTGAGTCGACTCAAAAGTCACCTTGCTGCCCAGTAAGAACGGGAGGAAAGTTGCATAGGTGCACAGGCACGCACCTTAGAGCCTCCAACCCGATGGTGACAGAAAAGCTCACCTTACAGCTGGTGACAGAACAGCTCACCTTACAGCTGGTGACAGAACAGCTCACCTTACAGCTGGTGACAGAACAGCTCACCTTACAGCTGGTGACAGAACAGCTCACCTTACAGCTGGTGACAGAACAGCTCACCTTACAGCTGGTGACAGAACAGCTCACCTTACAGCTGGTGACAGAACAGCTCACCTTACAGCTGGTGACAGAACAGCTCACCTTACAGCTGGTGACAGAACAGCTCACCTTACAGCTGGTGACGGCGCCACACTCTTGAAACATCTTCATCAGCTCCCCCTCCTCCATACTTGCAGTGCACGCACTACCATCAACTGCCTGTGCTGCTCATGCTGCTCATGCTGCTCATGCTGCTCATGCTGCACACTGCAACTCCACAAGTCCAAGCAGGCACCCACCTTACAGCTGGTGACGGTGCCACACTCTTGAAACATCTTCATCAGTTCGCCCTCCTCCACAGTCTCCTCCAGATTCTAAAAGTACCCCTCTGTCTGCTGTGGGTACCGCTCTGTTTGCCGTGGGTACCGCTCTGACTACCACAAGTCCAAGCACGTACCTTACAGCTCGTGACAGCACCATACTCTTGAAACATCTTCATCAACTCGCCCTCCTCCACACTCTCCTCCAAATTCTTGAAATACAGGTTTCTCTGCGAGTATCGCTCTGTCTGCTGCCTCCTCTCCTCCTCATACCGCCTCTTCAGCTCCGCCTCTCTCTCTGCCTTCTTCTGAGCCCGGGCCACGTACCACACCCGCCCCACTCCTCCCCCTCCCTTCTTTCCTCCCTTCTTTCCTCCCTCCTTCGTTTCTCCCTCCTTAGATTCTCCCTCTGTCGTTTCTCCCTCCTTCGTTTCTCCCTCCTTTGTCTCATTCTCACCCTCCTTCCCTTCCTCCTTCTCCCCCTCCTCCCTCTCCTTCCCCTCCTCCTTTCCCGTTTCCTCGCCCTCCCCTCCCTTCCCCTCCCCCTCCCCATCCTCCCCACCCTCCACCACCACCCCTCCCACAACTCTCCTCCCATTCACCCCACCCACAGCCTTCGCAGCATCCTCTGCTTTCTCAAAATTCACAAACCCAAACCCCTTGCTCCGCCCATCAGCCTCCCGCATCACCACAGCGCTTTTGATCGCCCCAAACGCGGCAAAAACCTTCATAAGCTCCTCATCACTCGTCTCCTCCCCTAAACCCTTCACGTAGAGATTGGTATACTGCTGCTGCTGCTGCTGGTTGCTTGCCCGGCTTCCTCCCCCTCCCCCTCCCCCTCCCCCGCCACCCATACCGTCGCTGTCACTGGAGCTGCGGTCCTGCTTGCGCACAAACGGACCCACAAACACCTGAAAGAGGATAGGGGAGATGAGAGGGGAAATGTGGGTGTGAGGAGGAAGGGGAGGGAAGGCAAAACCGTTTAGAAGAGCCATGGCTGCTGCTGCTTGCCTGCTCCGTTGCCCCCCCGAATCTGCTTTTGTCCACTCTAAAAACTCACAATTTTTGCCCCCTGTAAAAACTCACCCGCTTTTGTCCCCGCCATAAGCTCACTGTACCCGCTATAAGCTCACAGTACTCGCTATAAGCTCACCTGCTTTCCGGCAATGAGCATGCCGTTGACTTTCTCGATCACTGCCTTGGCCACCTCCTCTTTTTCAAATTGCACAAACGCAAACCCCTTGGCTTGGATGCCCCTCTCCTCTCTGTACCCGTTATAAGCTCGCTGTACTCGATATAAGCTCAATGTCCTCGCTATAAGCTCACCTGCTTTCCAGCAATGAGCATGCCATTGACTTTCTAAATAGCCGCCTTGGCCACCTCCTCTTTTTCAAACTGCACAAACGCAAACCCCTTGAACGCCCCACTCCTCTCTGTACCCGCTATAAGCTCACTGTACTCGTTATAAGCTCACCTGCTTTCCGGCGATAAGCATGCCGTTGACTTTCTCAATAGCAGCCTTCGCAACCTCCTCTTTCTCAAACTGCACAAATGCAAACCCCTTGGAGGCTCCGCTGTCGTCCATGGCAACGCGGCAGGAGAGAATCGAGCCAAACGCTGCGAAGGTGTCGTATAGAGACTTGTTGTCAATGCTCTTGTCGAGATTCTGTGGTGACAAGGGGGGGGGGGGGAGAGATGAGCAGAATAAACACAAGTGTAAGCTTTGAGTCACCATAGCGTGCCAGCAACGCGGCAGGAGAGGATTGAGCCGAACGCTGCAAAGGTGTCGTACAGCGCCTTGTTGTCAATGCTCTTGTCGA